TTTGGCCTTTGGCTGGCTTCTGCCGTATTGTATCCAAGTTTACCAATTTAGCGACTTTGACAGCATTTGGACCTTTTGAGCAAAAGTATATGAACGGTTCATGGTTAACACTTTATTCATTTTATTCTACTCTCTCTCTCTCTCTCTCTCCCTCCTGAGGAGCAGGACAGCACCAAAGCTCAAGTGGAAGCTCTTGAGGCTCAGAATGACCAAGACAAACATGTTGAGACAGCTAGAGAAATGCTAGAGATGTGTTTCTGACACCATGTAAACATCGGCGTGGCATGCAGGAGAAGTTGGCTCAAGCCATCCAGGAAGCGTCCGAAGAGAGGGAGAAGGTCTTTGCATCGGGCACATGCGCAATTGGCATCAATTGAATCAATTGAATTAATTGGCATCAATTGGCAAGATCTTGGCGTAATCTTGGCACAATCTTGGTATAATCTTGGCTACGTGACGCATGCAGCGGCTTACAGACTTGCAAACATGAGAGTAAGTGAAGGTGGTCAGAACAGTACAAGACAGTCCCTGTGAAGTTAAGAGGATTCCGAAAGATTGAAGGAATGTGCAGAAACTTTTTTGAAACTAGAAGTACCACAAGACCTTGCTCAGAAGGCTAAGCGAGGACAACACAAGTCTCCAACAGTTCTCCGCAAAGGTGAAAGACGCTGAGAATAAGATCGAAGAGATGAAAGCTGTGAATGAGGCCAAAGCAGAAGCACTTTTGCCTTGTGCGCTCTTGGCCGCTGTTTGTCCGTGCAGCTTGCAGCATGATTGACACCGCATCACTCATTCTACAAAGGTTTCTTTCATGTTCTTTGTCTTCAAGATGCTTCAGCCTTCGTAGTTTCTCTTTGATTCTTTAAGAACACCATCTTATTCATCTTTCACCATGTGGAGTTTGACTGTATAGATCTTCATAGTACTCGTAAGTGGTTTTCTGCAAGGGGAAGACTTTATCTTTGTAGGATTGAAATTGTTGAGAAATGTTCGCTTTATATTTTGAAGAATCCTTTTTTGTGGGTGGAGCATTTTGTTCTTAATAACATGTTCTTCTCTATAGTCACCGAAATTTCTCCATATTCTCCATAGAGAAGTGTTTGCTTTACACTTTGTTTCCTTCCATCTAGAGATTACTGCTTTGCAGTATGGATTTTGCCTCCGTGGGTCATGTTCATCTTGATGTTTGATTTTCTTCATGTCGAGTTTTGATCTTGTGGTCCGATTTTTGTCCAGTGAGACTTGCAGTTTTGTCCTCCTGGTACAGGATTTGCAGCAGCAGATCGGCGTCCTCACTGAAGAGCGCGATATTGTCCGGAACTCGAATTCGAAAACAACCCCAAGAAACAGGACAACGAAGGTGAAACAGGATGAAACATGCATGCCAGCTCGGTAAGATGAGAGACATCCCATGATGTGCTGCAACAATGTTCGCGGCATGGGAAACCGGAACTCTGTGTAGCTCCGATCTCGGATTTTGTTCCATCTAGCAGCCCCCTCGAGTGCTCCAAATTCTTCGTGGCACCGTTGTCAGATCTTGACCACGGTATAGTCAAGCAGTGTTCGGAGACCTTGATGCGATCTTCATAGATCTATAGCCGAAGTAATCTCTTCTGATTCCTGAATCTTTAGATGATGACTATGCCACTTGCAAGCATTTGATACTGGGCCTACATGTATAATCATACGTATATATATAATATAATATATATATATATTATTATATATATATATTATATATATATGTATGAGATCTCCAGAAACCCTGACAACTTTAGACCATTTCCAGATTTTGGAGTTAGCATGGCGCAGGGAGCTCACGGAGATGTTCCGACTGTATTCACAAAGCTTTTTCTGTTGCATGTTTCGAGGCTCGTGGAAAAGAAGAGGAACTCTTCGACACTCTGGCAGCCAAGGCAGCAGCCGTGACAGCCTTTCCTGTGATGATGCGTCCTGAAAGAGAAGAGACACGTGAAAGACCGTGCATTTTCAGGAAGAGGATTTGACCAACACCAACGAAGGCTGCAGCTAAAGTATGATGCACTTGCCCTTTGTTGCGTTTGTTGCTTCTGTTGCTTCTGTCGTGTTGCGTTTTGTTGCTTCTTTTTTCTGCTTTTTGTACTTTCTCGTTGCTTCTCGTTGCTTGATGTCTCTCCCGTTGAAAACACCAGGATACGTGTACCTCACAGACCAACTCAACGAAGTGAAGGAAGAGTATGAGGAGAAGGCAAAGTGCATCTGCTGCATGTGCTGCATCTACCCATGCCACTCTATTCCAGTTTGGTGTCAAAAAATATAGGTTAGAGCTGTTAGGTATGGCAGGTATGGGCCAGGAGCTATGGGTTGATTGATCTGTCTCGGACCTCACATCGCTTCAATTTTTTTCCTGCCTTTCCAGTTACATCCGTTTCGTCCGGTGAGAATTCAGTTTGCCAGGTGGACGACTGTGAACGGATGATTGAGAATCTGACAGAACAAAATAAGAAGCTTCTAGATGAAGGCTTGATGCTCAGAAGCTTTCTCTTTGGTTTTGGCATGTTGTGAATTTCCTCACAGCTTCTCTTTGTGGCAAGAAGAACATCGGCCGTATTATTTGTCAATCAAAGGCATCGTGAGGGAAATGAGTTCCTTCTCTTGTGCCCAGGTTTAAAGCTCAGGCTGGATCCGGTTGTGTTCATAAATATTTGCTCAGCGTGATGCACTCATTGTACATGCGGGCTTATGTTAAACATCCCTGGGGAGCCTTTCATTCATCTTGACCTATGGACTTGAAGGCAAGATCTGGGCGAAGCGAAACGAAAGTTGGTGGAAGCTGAGAAGGCAGGAACTGCCAAGCAGCCAAGCCTTGCTGATCTTGTCGTCAGAAATTTCATGATCTTGGAGAAGGCCCAAAGGTTGAAAACAGTGTAAGCTTGTGTATAAACATTGATGTAAACATATTACCAGAGAAATGAGGAAGCATGTTTGAATTATTTTGAATATTTGCGCACGGTGGAGTGGAGAACTTGGCAAATCAGTTGGCAAATGGGGCGGTTAATTTCGAAGCTCGGGGTGGGACCTGGCAGGCTGTCCAACGAGCTGAGCAGGGCTTGTTAAAGCCCCAGTGTTCGTGCAACTTGTGCGAAACTTGCAAATTGCTTTTGCAAGAACCGTATTTTTTGGAGGTACGCTGAGGCATTGTCACGTTGTGTGCGCAGCGCATTTCAGTTTGTTTTTGTGCCAATGACCGTGGAATCAGCGCCCACAGCGCCCAGGCCAGTCACTTTCCGTGTCTCCAAAGATTCCCACGAATCCAGCGTCGGGCACCCAATGTGGCATTCATGTCCCGACAGCGCTGGCACTCTATCACTCCACGGCCTACACAGGAAGTCAATATGTCTTATGTCACGAAAGGTAGCGTCAGCTACCTGGGTTCTCCGTGCTTCAGCACAAGCATAGGGGGTATTGGGGGGCCAGCCCGGGCCAAACGTGGAATTCTAGCCGTTATGTATTAGATATCAATTATAAGGGCCCCCCCCCGAAAATGGTCATGGGTTCAATTCCCGCGGGTGACGCGGTCACGGTCCGCCACAGTAGAGGCACACTCTCCATGAGGGAGATGTCCCTGTAGTTCAGCATAATTGGTTTGCTTCAGCCTCAATAACAGTTGCTGCAAGGGGTCTTAAAAAGGGGTTTTAAATAAACCCCTTTTTGTGTATCATTTCACGCTGCACAAGACACCGTATCATGCAGTCATGCTCTGGATAAAATAATCTTAGACTGCGCAAAAACGTTTTTGGTGTATCATCTTAGGGGCGCAGCATTTTGACACCACTCCTCTCCCACTACACTACCTTTCGTCCGCCTCCGCCTGCTCTCAAGTGTTCTCTGTTTGAGAGTTTCCGCACCTAAATGCAGGTGCCGGCTGCAGTGAAAGCCTGGCAAAGTTTTTTATCAAGCGTGTGCATCCTGACTTATTCAGTTGTTTTTGTACATTTTTGTCAAGGCGTGTTGAAATATTTGAAAGATTTGAAAGCGCTACGTTAGAGTCTATGCTAACATGTTCAAAGTACTCCAATCTCTTTTATGTTCATTTATCTGATTTATCTTTCTGTGACGTGCCAGGCCAGATGCTCGAGGTCTGCCGGTTTGATCCTGCTATGAACTGTTTTCTGTGTGAAGTTTTGAGGTTTTGGTTGGTTTTGGTTGGTTTTGGTTGAGGATTTTCGGCATTTGAAGCCAGGTGTGACAGCAACTCCGACGGACATTGACCTTGAGGCCAAATCTTTGTCAGGGATTCGATGTTGTTTTTGTCTTCTGCTAGCCAAATCCAAAGCCTGTTGTGTATTCAGCTACTTTTCTGCAAGGAATCTCCGGGTAAGGCACGGCTGTATTCCTGCATGCTTCTATTGATTCTATTGTTTTGATTTGTTGTCTTCGTCAATTCTGACGCAAAGCATGGTCCACGTGCCGGATAGGCCCGTGACGGCGTGTACCAGGAAGACTTTGAAGATGAGTAGCTTTGAGTCCTCGAGTTAGACGATGAGTTGATTTAGGTTCGAATTCACTCTCGGCCACATGGCTGTGCAAAGAATTGAGGGAGATGGGTGGGGATGGTAGTGATGCAATGTTTCAGTGGGATGTCTTAAAGGCAATTGCAGTATGTGAGTTTGTCGATGTTGGGTGAAGGATGTTTGCGAGCAATGGACTGCAAAGCAGGCCTTGTGAAAAGGCAGAACCTTCATCTAGCTAGTTGCTTCCAGTGACTGCTTTCAAAGCTACCGCAGCAATGAGGAAGCGGAGGATGGAACGGAGCCACAAACAAGTGCATTCTGTACGTTTGGGTTGACGCAACCTTACCATTTTGATTTGCTTGGGTTTTACATGCGCTAATTTGGAGAACTAGTTCTAGACTTGTCTCATTCTGGGCGGACAGTTTCACCACGGCCCGGTGTTTGGGTCATTGTTTGGCTGCTATGAACGGCAGCAGTTCTGCTCAGTTCGCATTGCCACCGCCAAGCTGCACCAAGCACCAAAGCAGGGCTTCGCCATTTGTGCTGCGTGCTACTTGGGGTCAAAGTGAATTGCAAGACAGAAAGCTCCAATGATGAAATGCTGGGGGGTGGGGCTTTGATATGCTTGAGTGAGTTGGAATGCGTTGAGAGCTCTTCAGTAGTGGGAAGATAAGACGCAACAGGATTTTAGGAAAGGACAAACATTTTGCACGGAAGCGGAATTGCATTGATGAACTTTCTGATTGGAAACGAAAAAGAAGGTGTTTCTGGGAGCTTGTGCAACAAAGGTGGGTTCAACCTTCAAGGGCTTGGAGTTTCTTATCTTGTATTCACTTTTTCTTTTCCTGGGTGCTCTTGCATTCCTTGAAAGTTATTTGTTAGCTAACTACTAGCTTTGCCAAGCTAATTTTATCGTAAAAGGTATGCAACGTGCATTAAGAGTTTGACGGCATAATATTATGAAACTTAATGTTCGATGATCTTCTGAGTGGCCCCCAAACCATACTTGAATATTGTGGAGTAAACCATACCCACTTATTCATAGTTAAACCCTTCCTTTCCGGTCAAGGTCCATTTAATCCTCAATACTTGTTTTGGCTCAAGATGAAAGCTGTTACTGTTGTGATGCTCCGATGCTTTGATTTGCATGTACGCATTTCGTTCAATTTACTGAGTTTAAGAGAAGTCTGTCTCAGATGTTATTACTTTAGCCACTAGTGCTGTCCTTGGCCTCAAAAAAGCATTGAACATATCTTTTCACCCAAATATGTAGTACAAGGATGTAAAAGGCAAACAAATGGCATCGCCACGGCAAATCGGCATCATCAACTGCCAAGCTAGTGATGCTTACACTTTGTCAACCCTGGGATGGAGTTGGCATGGTTTCAAATCTATCCATTTGTTTTCAATGTCACCGTTCCAGATTCAGTCCTCTCTTCTCCTTTTGCTTGTGTCACTTAGCACTCAATTCTGTAGATAGTGCTGCCATATATCCCTTAGACTCGCTTGCATCAAATGGATGTGCAGTGGAAAGCGCAATGCAAGATCGGAGATGAGCAGTATATCAAAAACACGTAAGACGGGTCCAGCTAGTTGGCTTGGGATAATTCTGATGCAGTTTGCTGTGCTTGTTGGTTCTTACAGCTAATGTTGTACTGGTATGACGCAATACGATGCAATACGATGCAATGCGCACTGAATGGATTCTGCGCTTCTACTACAGCCAGTTCCATGGAGGATGCAGCACTTTTGCTGCTGAAGGATTGCTGGTTGAGACGGGAGTTGATGTTCAGAATACATGCCCGCAACATCAATACAGAAAAGGAGCCATCCATGGCAAGGATCGAAGAGTTTAGGAGTCCTGGGCAACCGTATTCATGATCAATTATTCACCCACCAATCAAGTTGTTGTATTCAATGTGTGGATGAGGATGATGAAAGAATCTTGAATCATGTGATTTTTTATTTGGTGGAGTTCCGGTGCCATAGTCATTTATTGGCCAAGAGTTATTACCTTAGGCTGGCATCACTATTTTGAACCACCGCCTCAATTCAATTGGCATTTGTTTTTTCCCTTGCCAGTACCTCATCAAACGGTATTTTCTGAAACCGATGCCATAGCAGCACAAGAGAATCGATACATTTTGTTGTGTTAATTTTGATTGGGCGACAAATCAGTTCAGTTGATTTGTCATCGTGGGCCTCAGCTCCTGTCTCCCGGTGTCACTGTCTCCTTGGTGTGAGACTGCCTGCGAAATACTGCGGTTATAAAAGGGAAACAAAGACCAAACCCTTGAGATTCCAAAGCTGAAGATGCTGTAGCACGTTTTTGTTCGCTTCTTGGCGGAAGCGATGGCTGGGTTTGCTTGCTTGGCCCTTCAACAATACTTGAGTTAGCCTGCGGTCTCTGAGCATGCGGCACGAAAGGCAGCTCTGCTGGCCCTGTGTGGAGGTTTCTTCCTCTCTCCACTGCATGCTTGGGGATTGTGGGGGTGGGGCTTCGCGGTTGGCTGTGTAGGAGGGCCCGTCTAAAGACCTGGGGACGGCTCGTGTGAACCTCATCTTGGCAGCGCCCGTGGGGGGAACCTCTGGTGAACCCTTTGAGGAAGCTTTGCTTCCGTGGCCTCAAGATGCTGAGCGCTGAGCCTATTTTTCTTGGCTGGGCCGGGCACACTTGCAAGATCTGGCGAGGATGGGTGAGACTCACAGCGAGTGAGCTTAGCCTAAGCCTTCTCTCGTGTTGGGGTTGGTGCTAGGCAAGCAAACCCAGCTTGAGCGACCGGTGGGGCGCGGGCAAAAACGGGCAGCGGCATTGGAGGAAGAGGAATCTCAATGTTTTGGACGGGGGGGTTGTTTTTTGTGTTGTCCGCTGCGCGCTCTTTCTTTTCCGTCAGTTTGTCACATGTGATTTGCTCACCTGCCTCTAGCTACAAGATGCTAGACAAGGGGCCACACACACCTCCGTCTTTATCATTGTTTGTGGCACGGGAAAGCTGCCTTCCCTACA